TTCAGTTGAATTGAAATCTGTCTTACTAGAACTTCCACCAATTATTCCTAGTTTATTTTTGAGGCTAAGCAGAAAAAATGTAATCTCCATTTCTCAATATGGCTATTGGAACATTGTGATTTTCATCAATCAATCACTACATCTTTATTTGTTGTTAAATTGTTTCAGACTCTTCATGACCCCATTTGGGGTTTTCTTGGCAAAGACATTGGAGTGGTTTGCCATTACCTTCTCCAGCTTATTTTGCAAATGAGGAAACTGAGGCAAACAGTGTGAAGTGACTTGCCCAGGGTCACACAGCTAGTAAGCATCTGAGGCTGGATTTGAACTCAGGTCTTTCTGATTTCAGGTCTGGTTCTCTATCTGCTGTGGCACCTAGCTGCCCCAAATCTTTATTAAGGAACTGCTATTTGTGTTAAGGGCAGTTCTTGTCTTGTGCATAGTATAAGGCATCACACTTGACATGAATATATGCATAACTGATATCATTTTATCCTTTCCTGAGAGTTGGAGCTGATAATTTGATATTTGAAGGATAAGGAAGGAAGTAAGGAAACAAACATTTATTAACTACCTACTATGTGCCAGGTCCTGGCCAAGTGCTTTACAAATATCATCTCCTTTTATCTTTGCAACAATCCTGGGAGATAGGTGCTATTATTATCCCCATTTTATAATTGAAGAAACTGAGACACACAGAAGTTTAGTGACTTGTCCATATGGGTTTCTGAAGCTTGATTTGAACTCAGATCTTCCTGCCTTCAGGTTCAACACTCTATTCACACCCCCAAATAGTGTCTGCTAGGCAGGGTTGAAAGAAGGGGAGGGGTGTAAGCCCCTTAAAGGATGGTTTGGGGCATTATACGAGTGGTTAAAAGAAATAGAAAGGTGAAAGTACATGAAAGCATCTTTCTCTGACTTCAGAGTTTTGTTATAGCTGGCTTTGTGGTCACAAATTGTGGCCCTTAGGGCATCTGGAGGTGATGTTCAGAATTTTGCTCTTTCTGGGGGAATTGAGGTCTTTCTGACTCCTGGGAGCTGCACACCAGGAAGTGAAGGTTAAGTGAAAGCCCTGAAATTTACATATATATTAACATAAATTCATCCCAAGTGAATGACTTTGCCAACATTAAAAATGCCAAAGTACATTGGGACCTTGAATTTAATGAGGCTTTGGGGAATATTTTCTTGCTGAGTGACCAACACCTCTCTCACTGTACCCAGAGGGGTAAAATCAATTTGCTTTTGGAGGGATAGGAGCAGTCTTGGAAGGCCAGGTTGCCAGCTGTGGCAGCATGCCAGCACAGGTCTAAACAGTCACAATTATTCAGCTTATCCAAGCAACTTTCCCTGAAGCCACCCTAGGATGGCAGACAAGAGCTGGATTGTGTTGTGATTGAAAAGTGTTCAACAGTTAACACATTTGAATGGATTCAGCATGTACCTGAAGGCAAAACGGTAAAGTCAAAAAAAATTTGTCTTTGGTGTACTTTCTTTTCTGAGCGCTTTTCTGCTCTTTTTATCCTTCTCCTTACCTCTTCTTGGTGGTGCTTCTAAGGTACTGGTGACAGTAAGTCACCAGATTTAAAGAACCCATTGGGATGGGAGGGACAGGCCCTAATGAGCCATCAAAAGGTGCAAATGCTTCCTCAGAGCTTCACTGGTTGCAGTTAATCAGGCCCTTGCTATTGGACTACTCTTAGACATTTACCTACTTTGGCTCTCCCTTAGTTAACCCAGTTGTTTGTTCACTTATCTGAATAAGCCTGCAGCTCTGAGTCACATGGTTTGTATACTAGCCACTCTCTTTGTCTCTGTTTGTCTGCATCCCTGTATTGTTGCTTTGATCCCCTTCAAACTCTCTGCTTTGGCTGGATCTTCCAGTATGTGACCTTTGTATGAGCCCAATGTTCTCGCTCCTTCTCTGACATTCCTTGCTCCCAACACTGAGCAAGGGTACAGTTGTTGTTACTGATGCTGTTGAAATTGGTGAGCTTCTAGCTCTCCTCTGTTCTAGTTAACTCTGTGAATTTTCTAGTTGTTTGGAGGAGTTTTATTGGGTAGCTCACTGTACTACTTCCTGCTTCTCTTCCACCTAGGGTCCCTTCTCTGCTATTTTCTCATCTCCCCCCAACACTATTCCCCAGAAGAATGCCTTTTCTAAAATCCTATCACTGTCCGTTTATAATAGCAAACTATGCTATACCTAAAGTACTAATAACCTGACAATTTCCAATATTAGTAAGAGAATGGTCATTCTCATATGCTTCTGATTTGACCCAACCCCTACTCTAAGGCACAAATTGCTTCCACATTCTTTATAAAATTCCTATAGAAATCTGTCCCTAGAAAAGGATCTGACAAACTTACCTTGAGGCAGATGGGACAGATAAAGCTTTTACGTATTTGCATTTTGGTAGCCCAAATGCTCTGTTTGGCTTAAGACAAAACAACAAAATAGTGGAAGTTAAACCAGAAGTCAGTTGAGTATTCATGTTTGGTTAGGTGACCTCCCTAGGATTCTTGAATTCTTCTTAGGTAGACAACCACCTAGTTTGCTCACTCAAAAGACTTTTTTGCTTGGAAGTGAGGATGGCTGACAGATCGTTCTTGCTTGTCCTTCATTCTCGAAGAGGACCATGACATCAGGAAGGTGATGCCTTGACTTGTAAGTGAATTGGATTTAGGTGAGGAAGGAGTGTGCACCAGCCTCCCTCTCTCCTCTGGAGCTATCTAGATCCAGTGGCAAGATATAAATCAGGATGACAGGAGGTGGCCACAGATGCAGTGGGAGATGTTGGCCTTTTTAAATTAGAATCTTTCCTGGGGTCTCAGTTTGATTGAGGCAACACCCATTCAGTGATTAAGGTTAGGTAAGGAAAAAAAAGCACCAATGGTCTTCAGTCTTTCCTGCAAACAAGAAAATGTCAAGAATAGTAGCTAGGATGAGGGAGAGTTTTCTATATTTCAGTTTTGGGATTGAGATGAAAGTACAAAGTCTCTTGAAAAAGCCTTTCTCTAGGCTAGTGTTTAGCAAATTCCATTGTCCATGGCACATACTGAGGCTTGAAATGTATTAATGGAATCCACAAATACTGACCTGAAGAGTCTAAAGATATGGAATACACCTGGAATAAAGAGGGAGGCAAAGGAAAATTTGGAGCAAAATAGAGGGGTTGGGGAATGCAGTGTTAAAGAAAGCAGCGGTGCGTGTTTAGACAGAGTGTGAGGAGGAGGAGAATGGCATATGTGGCAATCAAAAAGCATTTTTTTTACACTCTCATTAGGTGCCAGGCACTATGCTAAGCCCTGGGTGTATGGTACAAAGGAAAAATAAAAACAGGCCTTACCCTCAAGGAGCTTATGTTTCAATATTCCTGATATTAGAAGGTGGGTTAGAAAAAGGGTGGTGCCAGAGTGGGATGTCCTTGATTCTATGTGTTTTGCTTATGTAGAAGGTGGCTACAATTCTGGAGCACAACAAACAAACAAAACACAGAAATTAATTATGGTGATGAAATTATTAGAATATGTTTCCCATTTTTTGTTCTTATATAATAGAAAGTAAGCATTTTCTCTTTTCATCTTCCCCTTTTCCCATAGAAACTGAATAATGACAATTAATTTTCTCCTTGTTGCCTTACAATGAGAAGAAAGGATGATGTGAGAGACAAGTTATGTGAGATTAATTAATAAAAATGTGCCAGACCAAGAGTATGTGGGGGAAAGGCAGAAGGTATGTGTTAGACATGATGTGAGGGGGAATGGTGATATTTTGTGTGACACATGGAATGAGGGAGATTTATGGAGAGTACGTGTATTCCTGTCTGTGAAGTAGATAGACATTGTGCCAGGGGAATCTACAGAGCTATGTCTGATAGGATGTGAGAGAGAAGGGTGGTGGAATATGTGCCAGACACGTAAGGGAGATGCTACAGGGTCTAGGCCAAACATGGCATTAGGGTTACAGTGGGGGAATGTGTGTGATGTATATCAGACACATGATATGAGGGAAATTCATGAACTGTGTTTGTTTATATCAGTCACAAAGAATTAAGGGGATATGATGGCAATTTGAGGAGAGACTCTCTGGAGTGATGGTGACAGTGTGAAGGAAGATGGTGTTATGGATGTGATAGATATTGGCACCTTATTGTGCACTCCCCCCTTCTTTTTCTGTGGGGGTGAGGGTATAAGATGGGGAAAGGGATAGGCCTGCAGTAGGTAGAGGGCAAGGGCTGAACTCTGTTGTGAGGGAGATGGGTTGTGTACCTGGCTTGGAATGAGACAAACTCAGAATTGTATCTTCTACCTGGTGCTTGCACAATGGCTATCCCACGGACAATAAGGGTTTGTCTTGGTTTTTGAATAAATACTTGTTGACTGAATGAACTGTCCTTCTGCTTCTTCTTGCTGCCCTCTGTCAAATCTTCAGTAGCACTAATAATTTCCCATCAATCTGTATTCACATTGTGAGAACTACCAGAGTTCCATGGGCCACAGTTTGGAAAATGTGGCTCCAAGTCATTTTCTTCCAGTATATTTCCACTTGGGTTTGAATCTTAAAATAATAAAACTTATATCTGGAAGAAACCTCAGAGATTAATTACCAGGTTCCCCCATTGTTGTATCCCCTCAACTTTAAAGATGTGCTAAAGAGTTTAAGTGACCTGTTCCAAGTATCAAATAGCTAGGTGGTAGCATAATTGAGACAAGAAAAGCACTTCTTTTTTCATCACTTACTGAATCTATCCTTAGTGTGAATACAAATAAATAATGGCATGAAATCCTTGAGAGCTTAGACATTTATTAATTGATTTGGTTTATCTTATTTTCATGATAATTAACAAGTTACGGCTCAGTATATTTTTTTTTATTAGTGAATTAGAAGACTTGTATTAGAAGAACTTAGAGTTAGCCTTCAAGGAACTCCAACTTGAATAAGGAATGCTGTAAGGAATATATATAATGTGCATCTTTTAAACTTTGCTGTTGGGAGCTCAAAAGCGTTTTTGGAAGGCAGACTGAATATTCTTCAGCAGCCCCCATTTTGCTCTGGTCTTCCCACGACCATCTGGCGTCATTACCTGCAATCAAAAACAGAGAAAACTATAACGCAAGAAAGAGGAACCAAGTGGTAGAGGTTTCAGAGAAAGGGTTGTGTCCAGGGGAAACCAGGAAGGTCCCAGAATTAGAGAAAATAGCGAATGGGATCTTATCACCCACTCATACCCCAGTTTTGCAGATTAGGAACCTGAGGCCTGGGAAAGTGAAGTGCCCAAGATTACACAGCTAGTTAGACCTCAGACAGGATGTGAACTCAAGTCTCCAGAGTCTAAATCCAGCACTATTTAGCAATAACTTGCTATTCAAAAAAGTAAGTGAAGTCTATGGTAAGTAAATATTTTCTTGTGTTTTTCATGTTCCTCAGGGTACTTCTCTCCAGGTAATTCTGAGTATTTATCTTAACCAATAGCCCAGCAACAAAAAATGATCATCAAATTTATAAACTAATTCGTTTGCTCTTCTTTTGTTAAGACTATTTGATTCTCTTAAAAAGAAAGAATTTCTGCTTTAGTGATGTTTAAACTATACCTGAACTTAAATTCTGGTATAGTTTAATAGAAATATGAATTTAAATGCGAATAAATCTGATTTTCCTAATTCTTATACTTCACTTTTGAGAGTCAAGTTTAGCCAACTTATGAATGTTGATGCAGTGGTGGAAATATAGGGATAGGGATAGGGACTGGACTTATATGAATACCTTCTCTGCAACTTTCAGTCAAAGAGTTGTCTATAACAGTGAGGACAAACTCAAATAGAAATGAGGTGGGGCCACTAAACTATACTGGTTTTGGCCTCACTTGGAAGTGTTGCAGGTGGCCTGAGTGCTTCATATCTCTGGTCCAGAGCACAGAGAGTTTAAGCAACTTGGCCAGGGTTATATATTGGACATATATCAAAAGTGGGATTTGAGCCTGGGTGTTCCATATTTTGAGGCTCACTCTCTATCCACTGTACCATGTTGTCTCTCAGAGATATGATCTTACCTGATCTAACGTAAAAGACATTGATCACTGCGGTAAATCTTGATCAATTTGATCAACCTGATAAAATCATAGGGTATGCACCTCTCTTTGGAGCCATCTGAGAGGCATCTTCCTATGGAGTATAGGTACGCTCACAGATGCCTTGTTAATAAGAAGCAGGGAACTTCTAAGGATTGCCTAACTGGGACTCAGGTGAATGGAATTTCATTAGAGGAAATGATCTTTTAAAAACTGAGCTAACAGACCCTCTCCTCTCCTCTCCTTGCCTCTCCTCTCTTCTTCTGTCCTCTCTTCTCCTCTTCCTGCCTCCTTCTATCTCTCCCTCTTTCCTCCCCCTCTCTTCATCTCTCTCTTTCTCTCCTTCTCTTGATATAAGATGGCAGAGTAGACTTGCTTTTAGGGGAAGAGGAATTTTGTCTATGCATATTATATTCCACTCAGGAGCAATGATGAATTGTGGCAAAAACACATAGTAAAATTGATACATGCTCTCATGTAGCCTGAGATGAGAGACCTGGAATGAACTTTCCCAGCTCAACATATGGTAGCAACTAGGACTTTCTGTAGAAGCATATGGAAGAGACAGACATCTATATGCCTATTGGAGGGGGGATTTTTAATTCCTTAGGCCAAATAATCCTAGAAACTAGCCTTTACAGTCAGAGAAGAGAGATTTCCTGGGCAGTGATTCATGGGTAATTTCAAATTTAAGCATTTCTCTATGTTTGTGTGCTCCTGTAGGTCCTTGGCATCATATACATTTTCTGTGGGATGAAATAATGCCTGTCTCATACCTAATCTGCATTTGCTACCTTGATTACTTCCAGGAATAATTTCACTTGAATTTGAGGAAACAGACATAGGCTGTAGGGCAGCTAGGTGAACCAGTGGATAGAGTGCTGGGCCTGGAGCCAGGAAGACTTATCTTCTTGAGTTCAAATTTGACCTGAGATACTTACTAGCTGTGTGACCCTGGAGAAGTCACTTAACCCTGTTTGCCTCAGTTTCCCCACCTGTAAAATGAGCTAGAGAAGGAAATGGCAAAACATTGCAGTATCTTTACCAAGAAAACCCCAAATGGGGTCATGAAGAAGTTGGACGTGGTGAACAACAACAACAACAACAAAAGACATAAGTTATAATGTAAGTACGATTAGGAAATTTTCCTACAGCAAATCTAGGTAGGGACAACAGGCAAAAATGAGAAAATGACCCTTTTGGTCAAATATCCAGGATGAGACTCATTATGCATTAACCCAGGGCCTTTGGGGATGGGGTGGGCCACAGATAATACCAATAGTTTATTCATCTTAATAACAAATCTGATATAGAATCAGACATCCTGGAGAATGAAGTGAAGCAGGCCTTAGGAAGCATTGCTAACAATAAGGCTAGTGGAGGTAATGGAATTCCAGCTAAGTTATTTAAAATCCTAAAAGATGATGTTGTTAAAGTGCTGATCTAGGTATGCCAGAAAACTTGGAAAACTCAACTGGCCACTGGATTTGAAAAGATCAATTTATTTCTCAATCCTAAAGAAAGACAATGCTAAGCAACATTCAAATTACTGAACAATTGTGCTCATTTCACATGAAGTAAGGTTATGCTTAACATTCTGCAAGCTAGACTTCAACAATATATAAACCAACAATCATCAGAAGAGCAGGCTGGCTTTCAAAGAGGCAGAGGAACTAGAGACCAAATTGCCGACATTTGCTGGAGAAGGCAAAGGAGTTAAAAAAAAATCTACTTCTGTTTCATTGACTAAACTAAAGCGTTTGACTATGTGGATCACAAAAAAATGTCTTTGAAGAGATAGGAGTATCAGATCATCTTGCTCGTCTCCTGAGGAACCTGTATGTAGGCCAAGAAACAACAGTTAGAATTGAACATGGAACAACTGATTGGTTTAAGATTGGAAAAGGAGTATGACAAGGCTTTATATTGTCACCTTATTTATTTAACTCATATGCAGAGTATATCATACAAATTGCCAGGGTGGATGAATCAAAAACTGGAATTAAAAGACTGAAAGAGGGCTATGGTAGACAAATGGGAGTGTAGAAGTTCTTTCAGAAATGGAATGTAGCCTTACATAGAATCTTGTTGCACATTGCTAAGTTGGTTTACTTGAGTGCCACAGTAATATGATTAGAAGTATGATAAGAATGAGTTTGATCTGAGAGAACAGAGAATGATCATGGGGTGAGTTTCATTTAATGGCCAATGAACGTTACTACAATCAGGGTAGCTGAGGAAGTTGTGCTTGGGGAATAGGAAGTCAGCAAAGGAAAAACCTCTTCTATTCTGAGGTTATTTGCACGTGACCAAGGAGGAAAAAGATGAAGTTGAATTTGGCCACAAGATTTACCCAGAAAGTGCTTATATTTTATTTTGTCTTAAAGTGTTGGGTTGACTGAATGTTGTGGCCACATTTGGGCCATTCTAATTTTGTCTAGAGGATCAGATTACAATCATGGTTTTGTTTCTTCCTGAGAAAACTTAACTGCAGATTATAATTCCCATATTTAAGAAATCCTAGAAAGGAATAATAATACCTACATGGGAATAATATATTCTACTTTTCAAAGTATTGGTACATCTATTATCTTATTTTCTGTAAGGTCATCAGGGCAGAGATGATGATTCCCATGTGACAGATCGAGCAACTGAGACAAAGAATTAGTGACTTTCCACTAACAATTAACCCGTGACTGGGCTAGGACTAGAATTCAAATATTCCTATGCCTAGTCAGTGCCTTTTCTATCACATAACATACTGCTCAACTTAGCGACTAGATAAATCAAGAGTAGATGATGGTTGGTGTGTGTGTGTGTGTGTGTGTGTGCGCACACGCACATGCACATGCACTGAAGTAGTATTCACCTTACAAGAGGAATCTTAACCTTACAAAAGCATCCATCCACTGCCTTTAAATAGCAAGATCCTCTCCTACATCTAAAACAGTATTTGATCTACAAATCCATAACTTTTTAGAAACATATCTACTCTCTAAAGCAACACTCTGGAAATCTGGATGGAAGAACAATTAGGGCTGGACTCCTTAGCATCTTTAGGATAGGAGGCGCATTGATTCTTCATTAAATTTTTGCTATTACTTGGTTAAATCTGTTCAACCTCATGCTTTCAGGTCACTGTGTTCATTTGGATGAGTGTTGAAGTACATGTTACCCTTGTCTATGTTTCTCCCAGAAGATCCATAATTAGCCAGTTGCCACCCAGGACAATTCAGAGTTGTTTTTGGTGGTAATGTGGATGGGGATGTTGAAGGATAAAATGAAGCCACTGCTGGGGAGACCACTGTGGGAGAGGTGGTGGGAGCAGTGGTAGGAGGTAGGGCAAGCTATGGAGGAGTCCACGTGGGGTATATCTGAACTAGTTAGTCTTTCTAAGTAGGTCATAAGCTCAGTTGGTTGCTCACTGCAAAAGGAATGAAAATGCTGTCTGTGTCTGTCCTCTAAATTTAGGAACCTTCAGATAAAGTTCTAATGGTTCCTAGTTGTTTCTCTGACTAAAGTAAGGGAACTTTTGTTCCAAAGAGAATTCCTTAAAAACAACCACCAGGTGTGAGATTGTTAATAATAATATATATATATTTTAAAAGACAGGCATATTCTCATTTTTTCTGTATAAATCAAAAGTGATAGAAATATAGCAATTTTTGGTAAGAAACAATTCTGCCCTCTCATTGCAGCATTTTTCATAAAAGCTTTCAGAAATGTCTGCACAGTATTGGTGCCAAGGTAAAATATCCTGACTGTAAGGGAAAGAACTGAAGTTGTTATTTGTAAGAAGCTTTGTAAATGTCATTCAAACATCCCATCTTATTTTCATTTGCTATTGGATTCTTTACTTAGGTAAATCATGACAAATGCTCTGGAAAGTCCCGTTTCCCTGGAATGCTAATAAAATCACGAAGACTGCAAGAGGAATTAGTTCTGAAAGAAAAATCTATATTGCATTTCATTGTGTCAGATAAAAATGAAGCTACAGGAAAACCTCATTAATTTGG